GTCAATATTCTATATATATTATTATTCTGTATGATAGGACGGTAACTCACTGATCGCCATTGCAATAGGACTTGAAACCGAAAAAAAAAAAAACATTATTCTGTATAATGTTTCCGAGAACGTAAAATCGTAGACAAAATTTATCGCCCAAACGAATAAAAATAACGGTCAGTAAAACAAATCCAAACTTAAATCGCAACGGATCTACAAAAAACTTTATCAAAACCGCACTTACATCCCAACCAACAGATTTAGAAAACCCTAGCCAGATAGCATTGCAAGCTACCGTCCAAACAACGGGAAATCACGTTGAATCAGAAAAGCAAAAGCAAAAGCACAAAAAAAAGGTAGAGCACCTTCTAGATCCGACTCAAAAAAATAAAAAATAAAAAGAAGAAGAAAACACGTAGGAAACTGATCATAATCTATTTGAGAGAGATCGAGGAAGGAAATCTTCTTCTTACCGGAGAAATTTCAGCAACTGAAATTGGGTAAAGGCCGGTGGTGATAGAGCAGCGGCTGTAGGGATCATGCAGAACGATAGAGACGAAGGAAAGAAAGTAACCGCATTCCCCTTATAAATTTTAGGAGTACTTTGGATCCGACCGTCTAGCTTATTTCGGATGAGTCGTGTGGATGCAAAGGTGCCACGTTAGCAGTGGGTGTGGATCATGGAGCTGCGGTCTTTGTTCGAGCTGAAATGGTATGGGTTGGGCAAGATCGGCCTTCAAATCAGTACAGCCGATGAAGGGGTTGGTGGATAAACATCTGTGAATTGGGCCCAACATTGTTGGTGCATCTACATCACAAGCCATCGTTGGTTCAAAAACAGCTTGAGAAAACACTTGCAACAGAAAAAAGATGGAATGAAACATACATTGAGGACCAGATACCAATCAACGAAAGGGGGATTAGTGGAACGGAAATGATGCTGATGAGCGCAGGTGACAGCACGGTCTGATATGTTGCATATTTCTGTTACCAAATGGGATTTGATATCTGAATCAGTTCCGATTGACGCAAAAGATGAATCCGGTGATAACTGACCTGGGAACTGAAGAGTAAAACAATAATGAGAAATGTAAGAGTGCTTATTCAAAGTTCTATGTACGTAATTTACTAGCATTTAAGGAGATAACTACTAGGGTGGAGCGGTTAAGGAAAAAAAGGGCTTGCTTTGCGGGGCACAATTTGGTTTTGAAAGTGGATCAGTACTTACTACTCAGTAGGCAGCTATAAAGGTGAATTTATGGAGAGGATAATATGTCTTTCACACAAATTTTCTTGGTGGACTACCTAAGCAGTCATTTGAGTCCATCAGCAAGAAAGCTCACACAGTATAAGAATCAAATATTGCCCTACAACAAAGGGTATATATATGTCTTCTTCTTTCTTCCTTTTTTCTTTTTGAGCGAATTGCGCGAAATGTCACTAAACTATTTCAAAGTGCCGGTTCTGGTCACTAAACTTTTTTATTAGCGCGAAATGTCACTGAACTAGTAAATCTATACCGTTTTGGTCACTCCGTGTATTTGTGCCGTTAGGAGAGACGGAAATCACTTTTTAAGGGGTAATTTCGTCTACACAATAGTTAAAAAATTTATGCCCTCATTCTTCTTCACCCACAACCATTCATCACCTACATTGCCACCCACCGCCATCACCTCCACCTCCACTCTCCTTCCTTTCCCTTTTTCTTTCTTCTTCCTCCTCCTCCCTCTTTCACCATTTGTAACAAAGAACACCCTTTATCATTACTTACCTTTCCTTACATTATTTATCATTACTTACCCTTTATCGGTCAAGAGCACGAAACTAACCTTTCATTGGATGATCGATGGACAGTATATGCACAGGACTCATGAAACTAACCCACAAGAAAAACGGCAGCAAAGCAGAAATTCAACTAGACAGGATTATTGCTCTGATGCAGAAAGGTCAAGAGCCAGGACTGAAAAAACGAGGGCGCAAATTACTAACCTCAGTTCTGATTGTCCGCCTATTCAGGAAAGGACCAAGAGGGAAAGGAAACCCAGTGATATTGAAGTAGAACCTTCCGCCACTGCTACCACTCGTGCTGCTGATGGCTTTTCCGGAAGCAACTATCAAATTGACATTCTTGATTACTTTGGGTTTTAATTGAAAAGATAAGCCATTTAAAGGTGACCCACCAAGGAAAGCAGTAGTGTTTGATTCTCCTGAAGATGAATGATTTGGCAATAAAGTGGACTTCGGCGAGGTCAAATTGATGCCTGCCACCATTTTCAAATAAAATTTCCTCCCACGCTCCCACTCCCCAAATTAGTGCCAAATTAGCGTCAGCTCAGGTGAGGCAACGCAAGAGTTGCAAATCTAAATTGTGGCCGAGAGCGCATGGTTTTAGGATTAAGTATCAGCCCCGAGGGCAATTGAATCAGGACAAGCCCTTGGGTTAATTTCGTGACACGTGGACGTCCAAAGCTGAGAGTATACACTTGGATTCCGATAATCCAAAGCTGAGAGCATACGTGGATGAAACTTCTCTGAGATGGGAGATTTTCTCATTGCCTAATCTTTGAAATCTTGAGGAAAAAAAGGAGATTTTCTCATTCCCAATTTCCAATTTTTACCGTTTGGAGCTGGTGCTCTGTGGTTTTGTTACAAATGGTGAAAGAATACAGAAATCAAGACTGGGTAGTGGGTAACTAAAAGAGGCAGAGAGTCAAAGACCAATTTCCAATTGAAAAATAGTGCCTGCATTTTTTGGTTGAAGTTTGATGGTGCCGCCATTCAGATCAGCCATCTCCTTTATGTCTTTGCCGGATACGGAACCATGGATTATGTAAAAGCTTCAAGGAAAAGGTTGTGCAGACAAATTTGCCCCTCAAAAAGTTGATTTCCGTCTCTGCTAACGGCATAAATACACGGAGTGACCAAAACGGTATAGATTTACTAGTTCAGTGACATTTCGCGCTAATAAAAAAGTTTAGTGACCAGAACCGGCATTTTGAAATAGTTTAGTGACATTTCGCACAATTCGCTCTTTTTTTTTTTCGTAAGACTCAATTCTCAGCGCCACTTCCCTTTAATTGCAGTCCTCCATCATTGTACGTTGTATCCATCTAAGGTCTGTACACAATGAGTAGAGATCCTGTGACTTGACTTCCATGGTCATTAGTTACTACTACACGTTTGCAAGTACATGAACATATAATCCTAGAGCCACAAAGGATTGAGTCCTCCTCCTTACTTTTAGTTTAACAGTACAAAATATGTGGTTTTCAAGCATCTTTGTTCTCGAAAACATGTTTGACAGAGCTCTAGAATCGGGGAGTTCAAGATTGAGCGCATTTCATGTTTTCAACATCTCCAGAATACAAAATAAAGTGAGCATTGTGAGTGCACTGAATTCGATAAAAAGAACCAAAAGGAAAAAAGAAATAATACTCCATCCGTCCCGTTTTGTTAGTCTTGATTTTTTTTTCCACACAGATTAAGAAAGTGTAATTAATTTGGTTGGAAACATAAATTTAGATTAATAATTTCCTAAAATACCCTTATGCTAATCACGAAGAGTGCCAATTAATATCAGTTACAGCTAATGGGTTAGTATTGGAAAAACTCAATGTATTCAATGTAGTGGGTTAGTATTTAATAACAATGTATTAATAACAAAATATTTAATGAGGGTATTTTAGACAATTTGAAAGATTACTACATTTTTTAATGGGAAAGTAGACTACAATTTGGGACAGACGAAAAAGGAAAACAAGACTATCAAAGTGGGACGGAGGGAGTATGTAGTATTTGTTCTCTTAAAAGAAGAGCTGATATATATATATATCTAAAATTATCAATTTAACTTTTTTCCTCTAGTACATTTTAAAATAGATTGAACATATGGTAATGCATTAAGAACTAGGTACATTCGAATAAGTATTATGAGTCTGGCACAATGAAACTATCTAATTATCCAATCTAATTTCTTTGCTGCACCAGTGTTCTTTGGTGTGTACCTCGAAAATAAGGGCACAGAAAATTGCAACCGGGTCATAAGATTGACTAGAGCACCGTGACCTATTCAAATAAACAGAGCCGAGATGATGGAAGAAGTTAAAGTTAAAATCTTAATAGGCTACCAACTAAGAATTGGTTAAATACTAGTATATAAATCTAGCAGTAGCTCCTACTGTACAGGAGGATTCTTTTGCGATGCAATGAGAGCATAATCATCATATGATGAACGTTTCACCAGTATTATATTTTCAAGTTGCATTAAAGATAATTAATCGCATTTAAGTCCTCACGAGCTAGGCCAATAAAGGGATCCTTTAATCAAATGTGATGTTGCATGTGACCCGCATGCAAATGTACAATTCCAACCTCTCCGGTTGGAGACATTCATGGTAGGTAGGAAGCCTGGTGGTGCTGGTTCTGTACATTGTTGTGCTGTCCCGCCTTTTTCTTGGCAGATTGCCAAAAAAAACGTCTCAGTACATATATATAAAATCCTGGTATGGCCCTTCAAATTCACTCCAAAGTTTGATAGTTCTACTACCACAAAAATTTTGAATTGCACTCAATGTAAGATTTTGGTTAAAAGTGAAAAAGAAAATCCCTCGATTAGATACATTACCCGGCGGTGTCACATAATGAAGAACTACTAGTATTTGTTTAATACTGGAGTACATAGTTTAGACTTTAGACAGAAAATCCAGTTTCCAAGTTTTGGTGACAGCTGACGGCTGAACTTACCTAATCTTGATATCACACTACTGTAATAGCTTAATGTATTAAAACAGAGCCACGAGATTTTTTTTTAAGGAATAAAACAGCTGTAGCAACTAATTAAAGTACTATTCCTTATTGGGATTCTATGGTCAATGCCATGCTCGTTGTAAGCAGCGTTGGTAAAATTTTTGCAGGCCCAAGTTCTTGGCCTCCTGTCGCCTTGCTGGGTTTCTGCCCAAATTTTCTATTGCCGCATCAAAAGAATTTTCAAGATAACTTCTCATAATGAAGACATCAAAAGAATTTTCAAGATAACTTCTCATAATGAAGACATCAAAAGAATTTTCAAGATAACTTCTCAGAGGTTACATATATCTATGCCAGCACTTTCACTACTAGTATCAGAATGTCAAACTCAATTCATCGCCCCATTAGCAACCTAGACAAACAGCTAATCCCTTTTCCCTTTGCTAGTCCCATCGTACAGGCCCTCCAACCTGGACCGTTTATCTCGCCCAGACCACTTCTCAAAAGCCATGAATCCAAGCTGGACCAAGACATAGGCAGAACCAATGCTCGCTATGAATAGAGTTTCATTCCCTGCAGTCACAAACTAACCAAGATTAGAAACATTTCCACGGGAGGATCATAAACCCCACACCCCCCGGCACCAAAATCCCAAAAAAAAAAATTTTAAAAAAAAGCTCTTGTTGATATTCTGTATATTATTATATTATTATTCTGTATGATAGGAAGGTAACTCACTGATGATCAGCATTGCAGTAGGACCTGAAACCAAAAAAAAAAAAAACATTATTCTGTATAATGTTTCCGAGAACGTAAAATCGTAGACAAAATTTATCGCCCAAACGAATAAAAAAAGGGTCAGTAAAAAAAATCCAAACTTAATCGCAACGGATCGAGAAAAAAATTTATCAAAACCGCACTTACATCCCAACCAACAGATCTAGAAAACCCTAGCCAGATAGCATTGCAAGCTATCGTCCAAACAACGGGAAATCACATTGAATCAGAAAAGAAAAGCAAAAGCACAAAAAAAAAATAGAGCACCTTCTAGATCCGACTCAAAAAATAATAAATAAAAAGAAGAAGAAAACACGTAGGAAACTAATCATAATCTATTTGAGAGATATCGAGAAAGGAAATCTTCTTCTTACCGGAGAAATTTCAGCAACTGAAATTGGGTAAAGGCCGGTGGTGATAGAGCAGCGGCTACAGGGATGATGCAGAATGATAGAGACGAAGGAAGGAATGTAACCCTATTCCCCTTATAAATTTTAGGAGTACTTTGGATCCGGCCGTCTAGCTTATTTCAGATGAATCGTGCGAAGGCAATGGTGCCACGTTAGCAGTTGGTGTGGAGCATGGCGCTGCGGTCTTAATTAGGGCTGACATGGCATGGGTTGGGCAAGATCGGCCTTCAAATCAGTACAACCGATGAAGGGGTTGGTGGAAAAACATCTGTGAATTGGGCGGGCCCAACATTGTTGGTGCATCTACATCACAAGCCACTTTAACATTTAGAAATTGTTTAGATTGTTTGGGGGAATGGACAGATGCTGAGAAGCAAGAACAACGGATACACGAATTAGGTACGTAATTTTATTTTTCATTTTTTGGCAAATCGAGATATGTCTGACATCGGCTTATTTCTTTGATTATTATCCAAAAAAAAAAAAGAAAATCATAACAATAATGCTCTGACATGGTTCTAGTGCAAAACTAAGCCCGGTAAGCAAACTAGGCATTTGTCCGACTTTCTACCAGGCTGTTAACCTGACAGCCTGGTAGACAAAAATTTTTTCTTTTCTCCATTGGGTTTAGTCAGCCCGACAGCTACTGGAAATTTAAAAAAAAAAAAAAAAAAAAACTTGAAAACCAAGCCCGGCGGCCTTTTGGTTAACCTAATACACCGAAAATGGATACACGAATTAGGCACGTATTTTTTTTTTTTGGCAAATCGAGATATGTCTGACATCAGCTAATTTCTTTGATTATTATCAGAAAAAAAAATCATAACAATAATGCTCTGACATAGTTCTGGTGCAAAACTAAGCCCGATAAGCAAGAGAAAATTTTTTTTTTTTAAAAAAGATCATGTCAATCTTCTTTTTTTAGTGGAACAGCTCTATTCCAGTCAAGTACATACTCTTCCATCCATTGTACGAGCACTTCTAAGACTTTACTTGGTCGGTGACCGCAACGGATCTTCTGTACCACTCCCTGTTTCACATCTTGTCCCATTCCTTATAATCTTGCCAAGTGTTTCTTAATAAATTAAACCCTCAAACAACTCAACTCGAACCATGTTAATTGATTAATCGATTAACCGGACAGAAAACTTAATCTCTTTAACCAAAATCAAGTAAAATAAAAACTCTTTTAACCAAAATCACAATTTATCAAATTAAAAAATCCTAAAACCCAAACAACCTCTGTCCTCTCTTCATCATCTTCACCATTCATTCAAGCAGACAACTTGATGATCCATTGCGCAATTTAACATGCATCACTGACGCCCACAAACATTCCCGCACTAGACTATCTTTCTACCCCATTCACACACACATATTTTGCAGACTAAAATCTAGCAGGAAAATTCAAGATTTCTGAGAGGAACCCAAGTTTTATTTTCCTATTTCCTTGCTGGGTTTCTTCGAGGAACCCTCTTTGCCTCATTTTCTCTGTTTTGCCAACTTTGGGGGTTTCAAGTATTCAAGAACCACAATTTGAAAGCCAGAAAGAAGTAATATCATCAGGCTTCTCCGACAGAAAGGTACTGAGGCTTGAACTGAGTGTACATATAATCCTAGTGAAGTTATAGCTAGCTTGATCATTTTGTACACCAACAGCTTGACAAAATGCCTCCGAGAAGCTGAACCTGTAGTTTCTGAACGTAGGTTATATGGCTCAATCAGTTATCCACAACTAGTCTTTGAAAACCTGCATGCTGAAATGACGAAATGTTCTATTTTATTTTATTTTTTTTGCAATAAAAATTCCTCTAGTTCTTTGCCAGAACCTAGGAATTGTAGTTTAAAGATTACTAATTTATTAAGATATGAGGGTTCCTTTTTGTAGCTTTCTGTCTTATATGGTAGCTTAATTTTTGTCATGTATCTAATTCCAGAAATTTCTTTTTCCTCTTGTAGGAAGAGTCGAAATCAGAAGTTTTCTGATGGCTGCAAATAAGCCTCGAACGAGTAGTTTCTCTCGAAATGTTGCAGTTTCCTTGCTCGGTTTCTTCTTAGCTCTTTTTTCTTGTAGAAAAATATTTGGTTTTAGTGTAAATTTGCACCGGGTAATGGATTTTTCCGCTTCCGAAGTTTTATTTTTGGATGCAAAGTTAATTTAGCTTCTGTTGTTTGGTCAAAGCTCATCAGATTTCGTGCTCTCAATGGGCAATTGGACGAAGCTCACCACCTGTTCGATCAAATGCCTAAAAGGAAGATGAACCAAACTGTTCTGGAAAAGTTAGGTAAAAGTCTTGTAGTTTGGATACAAATGCTTAATTAAGTTCTTGATAGATGCTGATTGCTTAGTTGCCCTTTCTCCTCTTTTAAACCAAGTCTAAACTCATTTAGATTATTCTATTCTTGTTCTTGAATATTTCAGCCAATGAATAAATTACTGATATTGGAAAAAAAAGAAAAACATTTTCATTTCTTGAATTTGTTCTGCGTTGTGGAAAGTCGTTAGATTGGTTTTGGAGAAACCAAGAAAGATTCGTGTTAATGCATCTTTCACTATGGAAGCCTATATCATTCTCGTGCAACCTTGATGATGGACAAGAAGTGCAGGAGAGGAAAAGGTTCTTGAGTTGGATGGCTGAATGTTGACTATGTCTGACCATGAGAGCCAGTGTATGAGTTGGATGGCTGAATGTGCTAAAGAGAAGGGTGCAAAGGTGTATAGGGCCTGGTTTATGGACATATACTGATATACATGGTACAGCATCAGCAGCCAGGGAGGCTACCTTTTGATATCTTCTTTTGAATTTCAATAGTTTCTTTCAAACATTATTGGAAAAAGTCCAAAGGCTCTCTTACTTTGGCACAAATCAAATACAGCAATTGTAGTCACAGTACTTCGGCACTCTTATTGCATTATCATCTTCCCACCTGTCGATTTTAGAGCACTGATGTACCCGAAAACATGAAAAATGTGCAAGTAAACACATTGGTAAACAACGGTCAGCAGATCAAGCTTTAGCACACTTCTCAATTTGAATTGGTATAATGAGCAATGTAAATGATCATCTGTTTCATGAGTTGACAGAAAGAGAACCAGAAGAAAACACCATCAAAAACGCTTTCTTGTATGCATCAAGAATCCAGAGCACGTCATACCCGAGATTTACTTTTCCTTGGCCTTGAGCATTTTTCAATCTTCTATACCAACAAGTATCAGGTATATCTGGTGCTGAATGTATAAGCATCAATACAGAAACATTATGCTATTCAAATCCATTAACAAATAGAAACGCAAGCTCTTGACTTGTTGCATCAACTAGTATATCTTCTCTTCTACAGTTTAGTCAAAAGAACGTTTATTAACACAAACTTAAACAAAAATATCAAAATCAATTGAAGTATAAGCACAAAGTATTATTTCATTGAAAGGCCTAACTAATTTATGAACGCAATCCCACAATCTCGTCCTCCATTTCTTCAGAAACATCTTTATTCAATTTTCCCATTTTCAATTTCATCTTTAGCAACTTGTTGATCAGTATCATCATTATTTTGAAGTTCTTGTGCCTACAAAAACAAATGCTAAGTTAGCAAATATATTGAATTATAATTATAAATTATCAAACTAATATATATAAGATTAAATAATTAATCAAGGTTTTTTCTTACTTGGACAAAACTTATTGATGCATGTTGTTGTGCTATTAATAGGGATGGCAACGGGGCGGGGTTGGGGCGGGGGACCCCTCCCCCGTCCCCCGCCCCGTTGCCTATTAGTTCCCCCCGTCCCCCGCCCCGTCCCCCGCCTCCTGCTCCCCCCGCCCCGCCCCGCCCCCCGCCCCTTCCCCCGCGGGGTTAATAAAATTTTATTATATAATTTTATTATAATTAAATTTTAATAAATAATCAAGTACTAAAATATCAACACATCACCAAATTATTATTCATTGTAATTTTACAATTGAAACTCATAAAAACAATCAAACAGAAGTTATTTGAATACAATCCAATATGATGAAATAAATATAACTAAAATAGTCAAGTTTTCACTTTTAGTACAAATGCAATCACTAATTCATTATTGTGTTTGTGCTTTTTTTTTAGAAAAAAGTGTTATTCTATTAAGTGTAATTAGAAATTTAGTATAAATATATTAGTAAATTTAGTATAACTAATTAATAAATTCTATTAGTAGACATGTAGAATTATTCATATAATTGATTATATCAATTATATTACATAAACTAATATACATTATATAATATATCTAACTAATAATATCATTATCATAAGTTTATAACTAATTAGCTTACATGTTATATATAATTATATATATTTTTATATTTTTTTTTGTTTTGCGGGGGGCGGGGCGGGGGATGGGGCGGGGGTATACTCCCCCGCCCCCCGCCCCGTTTCTAAGCGGGGGGAAAAAATTCCCCCCCGCCCCCGCCCCACCCCCCACCCCAACCCCTGTCCCGAGAGCCCCCCGCGGGGCGGGCACCCGCGGGCACCCGCCCCCATTGCCATCCCTAGCTATTAAATTTGAAGACATCAAATCATAGCCTTGGTAGAAGGGTCCAACATCTGCCGGAAAAATAAGAAATAAAAGACCACACATACAAACAAACAGCTATAAACTTGCAAAACTATAATACTTGGAAAAAATTAAGATAAATAAGAAACAACATGCAACTAATGGTTGACATAATATCTACAAAAGCATACTATTCACTTGTAATAATTGTGTCATGTTCTTAATATTTTGCCTATTGCAAATGTCTTCTATTGGAATTCCAAATTCCTGATATAATTAAAGAGAGACAACCACAAATTAAAAATATCATTGACAAAATATATCTTCAATGTAGTTTTGTCATCTAAAGAGTAAAATATTAAAATAAAAGTTTAGAATGAATTACTTCACGAGGTTAGAAGTTATGGCAAGTTACTTTTGGAAGGAAAAAAGAAATGTTTTTTAACAAACCTGAAGATCATCATGTTCCAGTTTACATTGCTCGTGTTTTTATATCCCCCGTCCCAGTCATGCATATAGCTTTACTTTTCCTTCATCACCCACGAGGCAGAGGCAATATTGATAACTTAATCTAAATTTGGTTTACCAATCAACAAAATTATTATTTTCATAGTGGATATTTAATAAGCTAGCTGCTGCATTCTTGTTTTCAAGTCTACAATTTGACGAAGTACTCGTGTTTTTGTTCATATA